TATTTTTAGACTCACCGAGGGAGCAACTAATTAGTCCCTCGGTGGATCCTATTTAGGCCCAGGCTAGGACTTACCGAACCTCTCTCGGTACACTGTAAGTGTATTGACTGTGATGCCTGGATTACAGCGAAGTGGTTCGTTGGTTGATGGGCACATAACCTGAATGTTAATGAAGACACTTTTGGATTTGTCATCGAAGTCTACCGTCGTGAGCACGGTAGCTGGTTGTGCAAGCCGGCGCAGACAACAAAGAATTCTTTAGCTGTCTTTGACAAGCTAGCGATTTGGAGCATGGAACGACTCACGAGCGGAAGCGTACATGCAGAGAACGCGGAGTTCCCTGGCAGCGACCGTGCGGACTCGGATGGCGATCGTTCAAGATCGGGCCGTTCAGACAGTCCGGTACCCGGCGAGAAAATTTCTGGCCGACCTGATGATCGTGGACGACCGCGGAGCAAGACGACTGTACATCGTCTGTTCCGGTCGCCACAGGGCCGACGCCAACCGATGGCGGTCGACGAGGCGTGGCCGTTTGATGGACCATCGAGTTTTACGCCTCCTGCATTTGGCGGGCCATCTGGGGCAGTTCCCGGTGTGACTGACCCTGTAACGGAACATGGGTCAAGGCGATGTATACATTCACAACGCACCGGCCCTCCCCAAGAACCCGATAATCAAGGGTTCTACGAAGGAAGAACGGCGAGCGTTCATAGCGTCGTACAACCAGTACATCAGGCAGAGGAATGCCCTTACCGCGACCGGCGTTCGACCATTTCTGATGCCGTTGAGTGCGTGCATTGAGCCAGCGACTAAACAACGCGTGGCTGAGTGGGACATGGGGAAGTTCCCGGAAGAGGTAACTGATGCCGAATGGGCGGCATGGTTTACGATGGGATTTCAAGTTGACCCTCGGACACTGGATTCCCTCAAGAAGCGAGTCAAAGCCTCGGTGGTTTTTGACATGTCGATCCCGGACGCAGATTTTCGGATCGGGCGAATGTTGGACGGCATGGCGGCCGCCTTACGCCGAGACCGCCAGGAGTGGGTTATTCGAGAAGAAAGTGCCGCCATCGTAAAGATCATACGGAGGCGGTCAAGCCGGTGTCACTCCATCGGGCAGTGACGGAGCAGATGGCGCTGACGCGAAACAAGCCCCTGACGAAGAAGGACGTGTACCGTTTCGTGCGTTGGTTGCGTGAATTTGCCATCGGCCACGAGCGTTTTGTCGGCTATGAAGAAGAAACGAAGCCGGCCGGGAAACCTGACCCGCCGAGGATGCCGCAAGGAAGCCGCCAAACATTTAGGCCAGCTTCAGCGCAGGCGCCACCGAGAGCGGCCCTGGCACCATCTACGCCTCAGGCACCGACTAGTTCGACGCCTGGCAACGGCTGCTTGAAATGTAAATCCACCACTCACAAGGTCCGTGAGTGTCCTGGAATCACGGATGAGGAAGCCGTGCGAGTGCTTAAAGCACATGGCCGGGCGCTTGGCCGGAGCCGTGGTGACGGTCGGGCTGACGCCGGCCAAGGACGAGGAACACCTGGTGGTCGTGTAGCGACGATGCGAACGAACGCCGTTAAGGTGGGCCGCGAAGACCTGACGGCCACGGTGGATGGTGTCGTACCGGTCCGAGCCTCGCTACTAGACTCGGGCGCTGACCTGTCGGTTGCTTCAGGCGGTCTAGTCTCAGCGTTGTTGGCGGCGGGTGCAT